TCTCCTGTCTCAAGGGTTTAAAGTCCCTGAAGGAATAGGAAAGCTGAAAGATATATGCCAACCTCCAGCATGTTTCTCAGGCAGGCACCATGTTTGCTTAGTTACTTATGGCACAGTTGAGGTGGGATGGGTGATCCTTGGAGGCCATGGGCTGGTTTTGAGGTAGGTTGCTACACCCCTTCCATCATGCTGAGGACAGCAGTTTTGGGGTGGGCCTTCATATGCCCTCTTCCCATTAACTCCCACACGTGGATGTTGAACTGAGGTTGAGCCATGCAGCCTTGTCCCATCACAATTAGGTGGTGCTACCCTGAATGTTGGCCGATTTGTCTCTTGGCATCTGGGGCCTCTAGCAAAGGATGATGCTTCAGGTCCAGTTGGTTTAATATTCAGGATTCTAAAGCACAAGACCCAAGAGCTGTCTTCCATTCTCAAAAATCATCCAACCTCTTCAACTCACAAACAGTGATCTGCAGAGGCAGGGATTGCATTTCCCTCCACAGTTTCTCAGGGGACACGTGAGTTATAGGATAATATTCAGGGAGGAGCTCTATACTACGTGTAGTGCAAGCTTCATTCTCAGTGTGGTTGTAAAATCGTATTTAAAAATGTTAATGCTGTAGAGAGATTTGCAAACTTTCACATTTTTTAAATCAGAGCCCTACTTTTACTTTACTTGGCACCTCAGCCCTCAGGGGTTTGGGCCTTTGGGGAGAGTCATAATAGGTGGCGGTGGGAGTTTGCAGTAGGGAAAAGGGGCAGGGACAGGGCTCCCTCCATGACGGCCCCGGCCTCACCCAGAGCGAGCTCTGTAGGTACTTCTGGGATGACAGTATTAAGAATTGGTCATTGCCTAATTGCCAAGCCCCAGCAAAGGAATCAAATTCATAGAACTTCTGGGCTCTGTGTGGAAAATACTCCCGCTTGGAAAAGCACAGTGTTAGGAGAGTCAAGGGCTGCACATATGGCTGTCTGGCTTCATTAAGAAGTGAGGTTCCTCAGGGGCCCCTGGGTGGCTCAGGTGAATGAGTGTCAGACTCTTGGTTTCAGCTCCAGTCACAATCTCGTGGTTCATGATCTCATGGTTCTCGAGATCGAGCCCCGTGTGGGGCTCTGTTGCTGACAGCGCTGAGCCTGCTTGGGGATTCTCTCTCCCTCTCTCTCTGCCCCTTCCCCTGCTCTCTCTCTGTCTCTCTCTGCCTCTCTCAAAATAAATAAATACACATTAAAAGCTTTTTTGGAAAAAAAAAAAAAAAAAGCGAGGTTCCTCCCGAGCTGCTTTTGCCATTTTTTTTGCCTCCTTCTTCCCTTTCTCCTACTCCTCAGTGTCCTGTCTCAGGGCTCCGTAGTACACAGACTGAGGCTCAGAGGCAGAGGTGTTAATGACTGTGGAGCCGGAGTGGACACAGAAGTGGACACGAAGCAGGTCCCACGATGGAAGGGGTAACTACCTGAGGAGGGCACAGTGGGGTACCCACGGAGAGGTGTCCACTGTGGAGGTGTACCTTGTCACTAACGTTGTTAAGA